ACTCTCTTTCACATACATACATATGGAACGAGTGTTGGTGAGGATGAAATTTTTCGTTTTGATCCAAATGATACGGGTAAATGCGGAGGAATCAGTCGCGTTGAACGTTCTCTCTGTGCCCTTTTGCATGCGATAAAGAGTTCAACCAAATATTTATGGGCAACGAACGCCAATTTATCCAATGCTAACATGTAGCACGGTGTCTTAAATTCAAATCACTGTGTAACAAATTGATTTTGGATTTGTGGCTCTGGATATTTATAACCGATCTGCTTTTAAGTGGTTGTGCAATTTGATTCAGCGCCATATCAACATTGATCGCTTGAACAGAGCCCATTCAAGTCCAGCCCAGAACATCACAGCACAGCGTACAGTACAACACAGTACAACACTACACACTAAATAAACTAACGACAACTATCTTTCTTGCTGGGTACTTTTTCGTCTTTTCCACATATTGCTTTTTTCGAAGTGAATTCCGAATATCTTATGTGTGCATCTAGTGAATCAGGCAGTCATTGCAAATGTTTATTTATCTCGGGTACGGGTAACGGCTTTCATTTCAATATATGCAAACCAATTCGAGAGAGAGAGAGAGAGACTGAACGAATGCCAGCTATTAAATTAAATTGTTACGCCGAACTGCAGCACAACGAAATTACACACAATGCTGACAATCCAGAGTGTACTTATGTCCTTTTGGCCGGTGTGTGTACGTGTATGTGTACATTAAACATTTGAACATGAGAGAGAGAGAGAGAGAGAGAGAGAGAGAGCATTGGAACAACATGTGTTCCAAAAGCCCAAACCGTACATGTCACAATTTGGTCGATTTATTTTATCAGCTAACTAAAATGGAGAACTCTGTTGACCAGACCAGCAAAAAAACACACACACATTTATTCAGTTGGAACGATGAGGTCCTTCTCTCAACTTAAGAGTCTCAATATAGAGATTTACTCGTTCGTTACACCGATGCATCTATTTGCTGCTACACACACACACACACACACATACAAAACAATAACAAAAGCGCTCAATTAAATACATTTTAAATTGTCTTGAGTATCAGTTGTGAGAGAAACCCAGATACAAAGCCATTCAGACAAGCCGAAATTGATTGTGCAGTCGGTTCAACCAGATTGGTAGACCATTTTTTGTCGTTTGGCCTGTCCAAAAAGGACATATCTCACCAGAATGAATGCAAATATTTTAGCTCCCTCTCTCTCGTTTAGCCAGGGACACATGTTTTCGGTTAAATCGATTTATTGGCACATTTCGCAAAAGTAATGAATTTGATGTTTTGTTTATTCACAAGTCAAAGCCTGTTGCTATTGAGAGATATCCACCGGACTAAAAGTGACTAAATGAATCTGCAACAATTGAATGAGATATTTAATGTTTGCTGCTGCTGTTGCTGCAACTGTCCACATGCGGTTTGATGGAATCGGTTTTATTTACTTTGAACACCGAAGAGAGAAAAAAACCCAATCACTCGCATTCGAATGTTCCTATCAAATTGGCTGAGTTTTATTTATTGCGCTAGTTTTCTAATATCAAGATTTATAATCACATTAAGAATCCTCCCCATCTTCGGAGACCATCGATTCAGAATTGACGCACTTTGAAGCGACGGTTTGATATGAGCGCTCAACGGCCATAAAAATCTAGCCACTCGCATTTTTTTCGCTCTCCCTCTCTCTCTCTCTCTCACTCCAAATGTGTATCACTGTTGGAACATAAAATCAGCATATCGAATTCAGTTGATGTGATATCGCATGTTGTCTGTCTCTGTATATCATGATTATTACTCCGAAGACGTGCAATCGCATTAATTTCAACTGGAAATTTGCATAAGAATCATTTTATGTGCGTTTAGTGTTCATCATTTTTCGTTGCTGCTGAGGTTGCCTCTGGTGACGAGCGACGCGTTTCACTGTATCAGACGTCGGTCTTTGTCGTCTTTCTCTCAATTCGGCAATTTAGCCAAAACGACGGGCGAGCGAGAGAGAGTGAGTGAAAAAACGCACAATATTCGATGAAATACGACCCTTAGTTCGGCCATTTTCCTATTTTATTTTCTATATACACGCTGAAAATTGTACGTTCTTTCATTCTGTCGTTCTCTCGCTCTCTCCACCTCTCACTTTCACTTGAGCGGACGAAATGGAATGTAAATCCAAATGAATGTGAAATGAAATGAATGTGATTCCTTTTTCGTGTGTTTGTGTGTGTGTGTGTGTGTGTGTATGTGTTGGAAGTTGAAACAACCCCTAAAATAATATAATACTATATAGCTGATTATTATTAGGCACACAGCACATTTTTCAACCGAACATTTATATCGTTTATGCCATTGTAGACTTTTCGATGTTTATTTTCACTGGGTATATATGCGTTTTTTTTCCTCTCGCTTATTATATCATCGTATTTGTCGGCTCTCGTCATTCAGGAGTCGTTGTCGTTGTTGTTGTAATGTTTTCAAAAAATTTTCTCCGCCATATTCATAAATCAATGAATTTGATGTGCTCACCTATAAATCACTCTAAATGTCGTTTCGTTTGGTTTTGGCATTAGGAGAATTATTTTGTGTGTGCGCTTGTCTGTGTGAACGAACGAACGAGTGAGCGAGTCAGCAAACGAGTGAGTGAGTGACTGACTGACTGAATGGGTATATCGTTAGAGGAGATATAAAATACCCTCAGCATTATGTGATTCGTTTCTACGTTTTTTTTTCTCGGTCGGCGGGAATATTGTTAAGATGTGGCAGTTGTTTCAATTGCCACGGTTTCACTTTAGTCATCATTCACGTAAAAATCCTAATAAATGAGAACATTTTCGATGCGTATACGCTTTATCGAAGCGTACACTTTTTTTTGTTCCTGGTTGGTTCATCGATTTATGTACATTTATATACGTATTTTCCAATCTAAAATCAAGAATAATTGTCGGTTGGATGGATTTAATGAACGTGCGCTAAAGAAATCAAAACGATTGACGTTCATTCAATTGCCGATATAAATTTTCATTTTGGATCGATAGTGGCAATAAAATAGAATTAAAAAAAAGAGAGTGAAAGAACGTAATCAATGGCGTAGCACCGACCCGGAGATTCATAATTCTAACTAGACACTTAATGGGCTCCGGAAATATCGAAAAAGCATTATAAAAAAGTTGAGATGTTCAGGCGAAGTGAAAGTATTACTGTTGAAGCGGTTTGAATTAGAAAATTGGTCGGATGGACGGATGGAGGCATTTCTTAGACGCGGATTCGCTTTGTGGAAATTCTATAGATGAAGACATTTGTTAATTTATTCTGATTTTGCAGTATCTCCATTGGGAATTTCTCAGCGCTATGAATAGAATGAATGCTTATCGAGCACATTTTCCGAACTAAAATTCTTGATGCGTTTGATTTTATTCTGATCAAGTCAATAAATACGTCTTATAACATCATTCACGTCGGGTGTTATTGTTTCTATTGTGGTAATCTTCATTTTGAATCTTCAATGGCAGCAACTCAATATATACATCGTCTTTTATTTTTATATACATGAACAACTAGAACCGAAAGAGAGAGAGAGAGACACAGAGAGAGAGAGGACAAAATATGACACAATCGCCATAATTCGTCGCCACATCACCGCACCACCACGCATATAGTAACATTAACACTCATCGTAACGAATACAAGTATAATTTTATTGCTGCCATTGTTCTTGCTCGCGTCAATGCTATCCCCAAAATTAAACAAAAACGGCTGTTGTCGATCATAAATCAATCAAAAAATCTATCGCAAATGTTCAAATAAATGCACGGAACCAAATGTGAACCCCGAAGGCAAAGAGTGTGTGTGCGGCACATCAAATTTTGCGCCAACATTTTTTCGGGAAATGACATTAGGAACAAAGGGACACAGATGAGATGAATACAGAGCAACAGCAACAACAATCGAGGAAAAAACTGCGTGCTCAAACGAAATTCACGCAGACATTCATAACGAAATGGGAAAGAGAGAGAGAGAGAGAGAGAGAGAGAGAGAGAGAGAGAGAGAGAGA